CTATTTGTAGCTAGTTGCTCTGGATCACATTAGGTGATAAGTAAAGCATTCATACAATTAATCAAAAACTAAATTTCCAACAAAGCTGTTCTTGGTAATTCCAAGAAGGAACTATATGTTTTTCCATGACTCAATAACATCATAATCTTGCTACATTATTTTCTGGGCACTTGTGTATAATGTTAAATTAATAAATAAATGACAAACAATTTTAAAACAGATACACAATTAAAAACATTTTTTAATTCAGACCAATCTATGGCCCTAAAATGTTGACTCTACATGTTTCGATCTATTCCAAGACACAAGTTTCATATATTTTCCTTCTTAGCTAGGTCATGTCACCTGTGTGTAGGTTTACTGTTTCCTCCATAATTCTCAGAGGAGGTCTCACCACATTCTTACATGGATATTCACCATCACCTGTGTGTAGGTTTACTGTTTCTCCATAATTCTCAGGGGAGGTCCCACCACATTCTTACATGGATATTCACCATCACCTGTGTGTAGGTTTACTGTTTCTCCATAATTCTCAGGGGAGGTCCCACCACATCCTTACATGGATATTCACCATCACCTGTGTGTAGGTTTACTGTTTCTCCATAATTCTCAGGGGAGGTTCCACCACATTCTTACATGGATATTCACCATCACCTGTATGTAGGTTTACTGTTTCTCCATAATTCTCAGGGGAGGTCCCACCACACTCTTACATGGATATTCACCATCACCTGTGTGTAGGTTTACTGTTTCTCCATAATTCTCAGGGGAGGTCCCACCACATTCTTACATGGATATTCACCATCACCTGTGTGTAGGTTTACTGTTTCTCCATAATTCTCAGGGGAGGTCCCACCACATTCTTACATGGATATTCACCAGACCTTTGTCTCTATGTAACAATTCATGATTTTTGGAAACTTTATTATATGTAAAGATTCCCTAATATTATTAACTCTAATTCCCTTTGGTTGGGCCAATATTACTGTTTTTTCCCCATAACATGTATTTTTTACATGTTCTGCTTGCTATGGCCAAATTTTCAGTCCTTTCATTTCTTACACATCACTTGTGTTCTGCTAAACAATATTTTAAATTATGTTGTGTTTGTCCAATATAAACACTTCCACATTCATATTATATTTCATAAACTCCAGCTTTTTCATTAACTGTATATTGTCTTTAGTATTACCTTATTTTATCTTATTCATTGGTTTAAGTAGAGTAAAATATTTGTTGTTTTTTTAAACACACTGAATAAACTAGTAGTTAAATCTGGAACATAAGGCAAACTAAATAAACATTCTTTTTTTAATTTTATCGTAATTTGGTTTTAATGTAATACCTTGATCCATTATTACCACATTAGTGAATTTCTTTACTGCTCTATCAACAATAGTTGGGTTAAATCCACTTTTAACTGCTATATATTTCACTAGTAACAACTCATTTTTTGAGTCCTCTTGTTTTATACATATCTTTAAAATTCTATGAACATAAGTGTAAAAATGCAGACATTCTCTGTGTTTCAATATGACATGATTCCTAGTACGGTGGCATAAGAACAGAAAAAGTTTCCAGTAAATAGGTATTTCTAAATTCCCTTGTTCATTCCTTTTTTACCAATACATCTAAAAAAGGCAAACTATTATATTTTCTCAATGTCATAGGTAAATTGTATAGATGGTTCTATGCTAATCAAATAGCATGCAAATTATATTAATGCCTTACTAACATATATCCATACCAAAAATGTGTCATCGACATACCTTATCCAAGTATCAGGTTTACATTTTGCACCATAAAGGTAATTAAATGGAGTTGGATATATGAAGAGGAAGTAAAAAACATAACAGTAAGATGCAGTGAATGTATTACAAAGTGAAGGAAAGAAATGTACCAGAGAAACCTAGTCCTGAAATTACAAAAAGGATTATACAGATTCAAGATAGCACGGGGTATAAAATTAGGCAAAAGAGCCTGGTAGGAAAAAATAGACAAAATACCTTCCGTCATGAACGAGAAACATAGGCAGAAGTATATCAGGTACAAAAGAAGTTCTAGGCTGCACACAAGACTCCATCACCCACTGCACAAAAGCCATCACCTCCCCAACAGACAAAGATAAACCTAATACCAACTTAGTTGTAAGTTAGCATGAACAATATCTTGTTGTCTCACACCAGCTAAAGTGGAAGTTACTAAGATTCATGAAATAAGTGTGTGGAAATAAAATCTGCAGGTGCAGAATATGCTGGAAAGTAAAAAATCCAACAATAAATACTTCCACAACAGCTACACTCATTGTAGAAGTGTTGATTGAACAATCAGTATAGCAGGAGTCAGCTGCACTCAGTGTGTGGATCACACTCCTATTAGTTGAGGGTTGTTGCATGTTCATTTGCATACTAAGGCACAGCAATAGCACGTGAGTTTAGGTGAGAGATTCATGGATAGTGGCGAGCAAAAAATTTCACATATAGAGGGCAGCACAAATTCAAGAAAAAGTAATATGTGAAAGGAGGTAAGATATTGTATCAAAAAGTATGCATTGTAACTCCTTTTTTGGCATTTAGATCTCCCAACTATCTTAACTACTGATCCTTATCATCATCATCCTAATAGTTGATTAATTACATTTGCAGTCATAATAATTTGAAAGTAGATGCTAACACTGTGGGAAATCTCCAAATCAACTGGGCTATTATTTTAACCTTCTCACCCTTGTCTCACTCATCATAAATGGTCAGACAAATTTTCATATTTTAGTAACTGGACCAAGATCATAAGACACTGTGTTCTCACTGTCCTCATGAGTTTCCTCATCTACCAGTGCAAGAGAGGCTCATCAGTGATACATGGCTTTAGCTTGACAAAGTGTTCACACTTTCCCACACCATATGGTTCACACAGCTCCTAGTTGGACAGGCCGAGATGTCTAAAGATCAGATAACTACCAGTACAGCCAGGAATGAATTTCTTCATACTGTTGATATGTACCAAAGTCATACCCAGAGAACCCAGGCTCTAATTTTCATTCTGTTCTGCATTGTGATAGAATATGTTTTTATGTATGGTTGCTTTAATCATTCACTGATACATAAAACTAAAACAGATCACAGCCAATCTACACATTCCTCCACACTCTGTGGCCCAACTGCATATGGAGGACTATGTATCATATTTAGTGGGAGACAGACTTCACATTCAAACTTCAGTAAGTTCATTGTCAATCCTGGGTCTTCTTGATAGAAAGTCTGATGTGCTGTACACTCGTTTGGGGTCTCACCACAAAAATAGCCTTTATCAGGTCTTTCCTGAAGACAGTAGCTGAAACATAAGATAAAAGCTAGTTAGTGAGTAATATCTAATAATTAGAAACTAATTAATAATTAGACTTGGATGATGATATAGATTATTAACCTTTTTGAAAGGAAATAGCTGTTGATATTACTGGTTCTCTCTGTGAGAATGATAAGAAATCAGTATGTGCTAGTCAAGATTGATTATTTTAACAATTGGGCTGAAGGTTATCTACTTGTTTTCACTTAAGATTAGTACAATTCAGAGGTTTTATAAAGATCCATGTGGACCAATGAGTCATCTTTGATAGCCAGTTGTTTGCAGAGTTTAGCAAGGTGTTAGGTGTAAAGATGCACATTTTGCTGTGTCCACTTGCAGTCTAACAGTTTGGACAAATGGGTTATCCAGTCAGGCTTATGTTTGAGAAGTTTCTGAAGTCAGACTACATTGATGGGATGAACACCTCCTGTGCATTAGGATGGAGTGTACATTAACAATCATTTTTTCTTCTCCAAACTTACTGATAGTGCTTTAATAAAACTATGGTGATCAGATATCAATTGCTGTCATAGTTGTTTGCTCATATGATCACCTAAGTCCAATTAATAATTAGTTATTTTTTTATTATTATTACAAGATACAAGTTACTAACTAGTTTCATCCTAAACTTGTTGTGGTAGTGGGTGTATTTGAAAATCCTGATGGATTTAACCTTATATCCAGTTTTATCTCTTTGAAATGTACATGATACATTGTTTACACCATCTTTCAACATTCCAAAGTGAATACAGATAGAAGAAAACACACTTTTAGATGTTGGAATGTTATGTATTACAATTTATGATATTTACCAATAAGACTGATACACACACTTTTCTTTTTTAATACAAATATATTTTAATATACAAACAATAATACAATTTACAATAACAGTTATTAAAAATAGTTATTACAAACAATGATTTATATACAAAAGTTTTACAAATTTACAAACAATATTGAGTCTTCTTTCTGGTCTGGAACTGTCTTGAGATCTTATCAAGGGTTCACAACGAGCAAGTTAATTTCGAGTTGATGTAGGTACAATTCACTTAACGAGGAGCTAACTAGCTTTGCATTCTTCACTAAACATTGAGTTTTTCTCCGATGAAGTTAAGTAATGTTTTTGTAAAAATATTGATGTCAGATGTGAATCCACTGAAGTTAAATGGTTTGTAATGTTCGAAATCTATAAACGTTTCTGGTCAATATATCTGAAGTTCCTGATTAAAAGGTTAATCACAGTTATAGCTTCCGAGGTTTATAGCATATCAATAATATATACTGTCTTTTGTCACAGAGTGTTGGTTATGAAGAGAGTTTCTCAAAACTTCGGCTTACGCAACAATACTGACGATACACCAGTGTTTACGTACACACATATATTGTTGATTCTTACACTCTAGAATCTTCTACGGCTTTAGTGAATAGGTGGTAATTTTGCAATACAGATTTAACAGTATAAGTTATGTACATTTCTGCATATGCATTTAACTAAAACAAACATTGATATTAAAACAGATATAGGATAGTAAATCTGTCACAGGCAATATTCAGTTTTTGGATCATGCAAAATCCAAATTATTTCCTGCCTCAGAACTCTTGGGACCACTAGATGCATTACAGATTGTGCACCATGTTTAGGTGGTTAACACTAGTGGTGGAGCACACCATCTCACACTAGCTGCTTATACAAGTGTTGGAAGCTTTGTGTTTCCACACTGCATTCATCAATCTTCAAGGGTTCTGCTTCATCTTGCTAAATGATGCTGGACCAAGAACATGGGCATGGCCTTCTCTTAGACTATTCAGATCTCAGTATCACCTCAGTTGCTGCTTCCTGCTCTATAACCTTTCCACCTCAAACGAAGTACAGGCAAAATTATCTGATTTCAACTCCATAATAAACATTTTGGATATCACCAATGATGTAACTGAAGAGCTTAGTGTTTGTTATTCCTAGGTAAAACTTAAATCAGCAAATACTGAACCATAATAACAAAAGACTCAGCGAAAAGAAAAGACAATAATGCAAATGAATGACCTTGAAATAAAGAAAACATTTACATACAAGCAATGGCATATGATTCAGAAGAAACAGTCTTCTCAACTTCTGGTCAGTTGTTTTATGTTTCACTTTAAAACAGCAATTGCAATTAGTTTTAGATTGTGACTGGCAGTACTAGATTCACTCTAAACTATATTTTAGTTCAAGCTCTGCTTTACTTCTCAGAAGACCTCACACACATCAGGAGAGGTAGTGTTATTATTAAATAAGGGCAAAGACACCTTTCCCATGTGTCCCTATTTCTGTATGTACCACGTATGTTAAACACGACAATAACAGTATGTACAATTTATCTAGTATACTAGTCACACAGAGCAGCAGCAAACACATCTGTCCTACCCTTTCCCATGTGTCCCTATTTCTGTATGTACCACGTATGTTAAACACGACAATAACAGTATGTACAATTTATCTAGTATACTAGTCACACAGAGCAGCAGCAAACACATCTGTCCTACCCTTTCCCATGCATGTCTGCCTACGGGCAGGGTTAAATAACACAACTGGGAACATCTTGTTTATGTTGAGCATCTCAGTAGAGCTACATACCAGTTCTTAAACCTAAAGGACATATGTTGCTGAACAAAATTTTATCATTACACAATTAAGGTTGTCAGAATAAAGTTACTTTCCTTTTTACATGAAAAATAGCTACATACCAGTTCTTAAACCTAAAGGACATATGTTGCTGAACAAAATTTTATCATTACACAATTAAGGTTGTCAGAATAAAGTTACTTTCCTTTTTACATGAAAAATAGCTACATACCAGTTCTTAAACTTAAAGGACATATGTTGCTGAACAAAATTTTATTCTTTATATTATTTCAATAGCTTGTGTTTCTAAATATGGTAAAATATATGTGATGTTGAAAGTTAATTCAATGATATGCATTGCAGGATAAGATCTAACTACCAGGCAAATGAAAGGTTAAAATAATGTTGCACAGTGCAACTGATTATAAATCTTCCCCAACTAATCAAACTGGTTTAGAATTAACCAAGATGATGAAACTAACAGCAGCCACTAAAATGAGAAAGTGATGCAAAATTTGTTTTTTCCAAAAATACTAGGCTTGGAAAAGGTTTTGTAGTTGAGAACAATAATACATATCTATTAATACTTGTTACAGTTATTGCTTACGTTCTTTGTTTCAGATACTATAAAGAACATGTTATTACTAACTTCCTATATTATCAGTTCATTACCTTTTCTAAAGCAATGTTACTTTTCCGTTTGTGTCACACCTTTGAAAGTAATTCTATATAGTTGCAGTTCTATCAGTTTAATTTATTGACACCTTTATGATGAATGTATATATTATTAACTTGTCTTTAATGACTTTAACAATGTATTATTTCAGTATCAATTTAAGACACATACAAATATGACTATAAATCATACTCTAGCGATATTTTAAATTGAATATATGATAAGTTTTATTGAAGTTTTTTGAGATTTCTTTTTTTATAAAAAGTGCACATGTATATGAAATTTGTGTATACAAATTTATAGGTATTTTATAAATCAACTACTTTGGTGCAACTTGAACAACCTTGTAAAAAAAGCATTGCACCTTATCAGACAAGGTCCAAAAATTAAAAAGTGATTTTGAAAACACAAAAGGAGGTTAAAAATCAACTTGTATTGACACTTAAAACAAATTACACATAACAATTTATTTCATATACAATATTACAAAATGTATTTTAATATAGCTACCTGTGGATATGATTTACATTGCATTTTCTGAGTTTTGATACAATAGAAAGATAAAGTTGTCTTGGTTATAAACTATGCATTAGGACTCCAGAGAAAGTTATGGTTTAAGAGCTAGACACAAAATATAACTGTGATAATGTCTAATTTATATAACAGATTATGTGCTTAACTAATGAAATAAACCTAAGCACACTCTAATAAGGAAAAATGAAGTAGATTTGAGAATTCTGCATTAAATTAAGAAAGTGCACGAAGTTTCAATTATTCCACATTCTGGATGATAGCACTATGTATGAACTTAATGTAGACCAGAATATAACTGAATAAACTGAGTCAGGTACTTGATGATCCCACACTAAAATATGTATTAGGAAAAAAATAACAAAAAACACCCAGCACTATTAATATCGGTGGAGTGAAAAATATGTTTCAGTTCCAATATGTTACAATGTTTTGTTTACAAAATTTACTCAAGACTGAATCATATAAAACTAGAAAAATGTCTTACCTTCAAAGGTTCATCTACTGTCGATGAACTTAACTCCAAATCATCTTCCATTTGATCCCATGTTGGAGGATCCCATTGGGTTTGTCTAAAAAAGTAAAAAAAGTTTAATCTCACTCAGACCATCTTCAGAAATTAAACTATTTCAAAGTAATCTTAGTTCTTTAAAATAACAATATTAATATGTTTAGTAATACAAAAAAAAAGAAGCTACAATATGCTAAGTGATTCATATGGAAATGAATTTATACATAAACAAATAAATGTGGATAACTAGAGCTGGAGGATTTAACAATTAACCAATATAATCAATTACTCATGAGCTGCAATTCTATCAATTAATATCTTGTAAGTCAATCAATTAATATCATGAAAGTAATCAACTAATCAAAATTAGTGCTTCAGGTTATTACAGCTTTTGATTATTCCAACAATTGATTAATCAAAATTATTATTATATTAACTGTAATGGAAATAACCAATTAATAGAAATATTGCCATTTCATTCGATTGTTGTTAAGCGCAAAGCTACATAATGGGCAGGGGGTGGGGGTGCATTGTGATTTCAGTGTCTTGACTTTGATTCCAATTGTCACTAAACTTGTTCATCCTGTCTTTGTTACTGCAAAGCTACCAAGACTATCTGCCACCAGTCACTAATTTTTGAACTGCTGACTAGAGGAATGGCAACTGGCTGGAATCACCTACTGTCAGCTCCTTGGCTACTTATGTACTAAATAAAGTGTAAATTTACTGTTTTTTTTTTTACATTGTGTTATGTTTCTGATTTATAATCAATGTGGTATAAACAGGCTCCAGACTCCTCCATCCAGTTTTGTTTCAGAAATTAAGTGTACTTAACATCATTGAAGTAGGCACAGATCTAGGGTAGAGGGGCTGCATTCCTCAATTTTTTTCAGGAATTAATAACTGTATTCTTTAATTCTGTATAAACAGACATGGGTATAGGGAGGCTAAACTCCCACCATATCCTTCCATATATATATTAATAACTGTATTACTTAATGTTGTATAAACAGGAGCAAATCTAGGCATCCTCCATTTTTTAAAGAAATTGATAAAAAAACATTCTTACACTATCATACAGTATCAAAAAGATAATATGAGATGTCAGTGTTTTTATTTGATTAGTCTATTAAATATGCCATGAAAAAAAATCACAGTCTCTTTTTCATTTTTACTTTGAATGAGTGTAAAATTAAACGGGGTCTCACCTCGTGGCTAGTACATGATTGATACATAAAGCTATGTGACTGTTGTGAGAGAAAAACTGTTAAGGTTCATTGCCTAAATTCATCATTCACTTCAGCCATAAGTTCCAAGACTTTTGCTATCACTCTACACATTTTAAACTTAACCACTTTCTAAAACAAACAAAGTATTCCAACCAATGATCAAATAAAGTGACAGTGTTTGAAGGTTTTTGTTCGTAAAGAAAGAATTCTTCAATTCGGTTTCCAAAAGTTTTTTTTCAATTGACTTTATTAAAAACTGCTCATAATTGTATTTTAATTGTGTATGTCATGATAAACTTTCCAACGTTAAAAAAAAGAAAAAGAAATGACAACTTTAAATGCATTATGATAAAGAATACCCATATTGTGCCGGGTTGAATTATTTAAAATTTATCACCTCCCGGCTCGACACACACCTTTCATCGAAAGTGTTTCAAATCTCAGCACTTACACTGTGTAATAAAGACATATACACTCCCCTGTTAGTTACAGGTGCAACATGTAGTCGGTTATGACAATTGCCCACCTTCATGCTTCTTCTTTTTCAACTATTTGCTTGCTACTCGAAAAACCCAAAATATCTAGTTTTTCTCATTCAAAAGCAATCGAACCAATCAGCAATCAAGTTTGTTGAGCCACAACTAACTTTAGGGTAATTCTTGGAATTATGCATATTGATAAATAAGGTTAGCTATTTTGTAAATGTTTGTTTATAACTGTTTACCACTTTCAACTTATAGTGACATCTCCGACAGTGACTTGTGCAATTCAAACAATTGACAACCCTCCTATTAAAAAGTAATGGGACATTCCAAATTTCTAATCATTCTGTTGTCATGGCTCTTCAGCAACCTCCCCAAACAATGAGCTTATACACAATACGGTATTAACAGGGAGAAACATGGCATATAATCCTGAAAATGTTGCAGTAAAAGTCTGCATAGATCTCCAGCAAGCACACAGTGTGTATTAGCTCTGTGCATAGGGTTCTGTTATCGACTGTCTGCTAATGTACAGTCCATAAAAAATGTGTGCTTCACAATGTGCATAGCATTATTTTTCTAACCTTTCTTTCATTCAGTGTATCATCTTATGTAAATAAATGATAAACAGACAGATTGTTTAACTGATGATATTTTATTCTATGGTGAATAATGTTTTGTGTCAAAAGAAAAAGGATAGCCTACAGGGTTGTGATTGTAAGCATACATACAAATCAGAAGATTGTTGTTGTGAATAAAGTGGTCTGGGTGGTGGTAATTTTAATTTCCTGGCAATCAGTTTTTCCTGATTGGGAAAATTGAAACATTCTACCAATTGTTGCCCAATTATGCAATAATTGGCCCGATTCTGATTGCTGAAACAATTATCAGTAAAACTCTGCATAATATAAAATAATAACTTTAAAAGAACATAAAATAATGATTTAAAAACAGGAATAATAATGCAATTCCCATTTCTGCATCTATTTTGCTCCTTAATTTCACCAGGCATAGCAAGAGAGACAAGCCATGGGCTACTACCATACCTAGGTTTAAGGAGGAACTACCTAACATCTGTGGCCTCTTTGACCAGACCAGCTTTGCTGAGACAGAGAGAGGAATCATGAAGATGAAAATGATCAAGACCAATTTGAGATCTTGTCTGGGAGCTGACAGGATCACTGTGCAGCTCTGGTCATGCTCCACTTTCCTTCAATAAATGACTTTGATCCCATAACAGCTATCCATCTTTGTAACTCAAGATCACTTTACACAAGGGGACCAAATGCTGGCAGGGTCCAGATTGAGCAGTAGGTGCAGGCAGGTGACAAAGAAGGGGTGATGGATGTTGGGACATCATCAGATACTGATGCATGCTAGATTTCATTTCATTATTTATTTTGATTAGGAAAGGACACTAACTTAAGTTTAATTCATCACCACCTAAGCCACTTTAGAGCTATTTGCATGTTTTCCATATGTTGATAATTTGAGGATTTTGCTTATTACAAATTCAAATTCATCAATAACTAATTAGTTGTTTCAGGATATGAAAGAACTGATTGCTATAAGGTTAGTGGTAATGTAAGTTGTATGATTTCAATCTCTCTCTATCAAAATTGTTTGGCATTTTATTAACAAATATGTGCCAGCTAGATGGTAATGGGTTATATGGGAACAAGAATAGATTATAATGACAGTGATGCAAAGATTTTCTTTCATTATTTATTTTGGTTATTAAAGGACGCTACTTTAAAGGAGAACAAAAAGTTACTGTTATATTAGGTTGTCAAGAAATTAATGAAACATTTTGGAATACTTTCATTAACTTATTTCATCAGACATGAAGTAATTCTTTAATCACCACCTTTTTAGTAAAAACTACGCAGAAAAATGAAATGTTTTCTTGAAGAAAAGTACGTGTGCACTCCGAAAGAGACTTAAATAGCACTCTTGAGCCTTTTCACTGCATTCTAGGTCAGGAAGTAGAAAACATAATGCAGACATTCCAACACAAATTTTAAACTCTTTTGATTGTACAAAGAATAAATGATATTTAGTAGTAATAAAAATTTATTTTTCTTTATGTTTTAAGGCCAAGAAAATAATATATCTTTTAAAATACCAAAATAATATTTATTCACCACTAGAAACTTTTAAACATAGACTTTATAATGTTAGTAATAGTAGGCCTATTTATAGTCTAATCTGTTGCTAAGCAACAATGTATATTGTCGAGCATTACCAAAAAAGAAGTGTGAAAGCATTCTTGACAGAGTGACAAAGGGAATAAGCTTTTTATAGTTAGTGATGATTACTGCTCTATATAATGTATTTTTAAAGTACATGAGAATGTTATACTTCATTTATATGTATTATGTGTGAATAAAAGGGTTTTCAGTTTTCAATTATAAAACAGTAGTTATGGTGATATCATTAGTAAATGATGCAAATTAGTACTACTGAAGGTCAAGATCTATCTGTGTTAGTACCTAATTCAAAGTACTATTAAACAATAATAATAATAAAGCAGTACTATTTTTTTCTCCCTCAATTAGGTCGTAAGACAGATAAGCTCAAACATAGAAAGATCTTATGCTCTATTTCTGTTATTGTCCAAATTGTATTTGGTCTGATGAGCCTAACACCAATCACTACTAGCTAGATAGTCTAACAGTATTTTTCTTTATTCATTATAGTTGTATATTGCTTGAAACCCAATAACCTGAGATCTTTCAGAAAGTAGACCTTTTTCCTCCATTCTGAAAGAAGGCACTTCCAAAATCACTCAGATTGTTAGATTTCTCATTTCGGAATTCACTTAATTATTTTTTATCATAACTAATTCCTATTTCTATGCTGTTTAAAACAGTATTCATGATATGAATATTGTTTTAAACAGCATAGAAATAGATTTATTTCCGGAAGTCTGCGAAATTTAAATAAAATAACAGACTACTATACATAAAATATATTCGTGTGTGTGTATCTATCTATCTATATATTATATCATATCCAAAATACAAACTTTGTTATAGCATGGTAGTAGTAAGTATTTCCATCCTTATCCTTTGCAGTTTTCCAATTAGGGGGTAGAACTGCCGGCTTTGGTGGTGATGGAGGGAATCCAATATGGTCTTCTACAGCTGAAGTTGAAACTAGGTGTACTACTGGGTTGGCATTATGATGAAGATGAACCTGGAAAATCACATTCAGCACTTTATATTTTCCTTACACTAGAAAGTAAATAAACTTGTTGAGCCTTTAATTATTTTAATTAGAGGAACAGTATCTTTTCTTCATTATCATTTTATTGTGTAGTTGGCCTCAAGAAAGTACTACAAAAACAAATACACACAGTTTACACATTTATGTATTTTCAATGTTCTTAATTCTCTGTTTCTTTGGTTGTGAAACCCCACCCTTCTTCTGTTCTTAGCACTGTCCTACATTTTAATAGCAGGACTGGGATCATACAATAAAATTCTCATTAAACATTCTATCTTTCCAGTCTTCATAGAGCATCTGAATTTCATCTTGGGCCTGTTTTGTACACAAAAAGCTTGTTCAAACTCAACCCTCATTACACAAAAGTATAAAGCTATTTGACATAGTTTTGACATGTTAGGAAATTGATCACCATGCAGTTTAATAACCCTTTTACATATAGCAAAAAAAAACAGAAAACATATTTAACAAAAAAATAGAAGTTGAAACTGTGACTATAAGTAATTTATAGCTTCACAGTCAATATAGAAAAGGAAAGAACTATGTTAGTTAACTTATTTATGTTTTTAACCATACTTTTGGTTACTCTTGGATGACATCTTTAACAATCATGGAAATTAGTACATTATTTGTGTAGTGAAATCTACAGATAAAATACACATTGTTACTGAAAAAACTGTTCATTTAGGAGGTTCAATAGATTATGCAAATACTTTATAAAAAAATGTGATTTTTAGTATACAACATACTTTTAATGTTTACTAAGAGATTTCCACTTTTCATGAAAATACGCACAGTAAGTTCAGAATTATAGTAATTGTTAATTTTCCAATATGAACTCGGTCCACATCGTGAGCAACACTGCTAACAGCAGATGTGGTATGTGTACCATTAGGCTTACAGTTGAGTAGACTGTAAAACCATTCTAAAAAAAGGAAAATTACCAAGAAATGGCTTAAATAAAATAAACAGAATGAGGAAAATAATCATTGCAAATTATCAGTTCTAAAATTTACCACCAATGTATTGCTATCAGGACGTTCATAATTGCAATCTATCAATATTTCGATGTACCATTACACTCCTGATTGTGGTTTGCCTTCTTTTAAGGCACAATGCAAGTGTCTATATGGAAAAATAGGCATTCTCACAGTGAGCAACCAGTAGGCACATTAATTCATATTGTACCATATCAGTGATAGTACATTTGTAACTGATACATGTAAAATTATGCATATTTTATGTGGATACACTAGCTATCTGGAGCACTGTTCACCGATGAAAATATCTACATAAATACATTATAAAGTATGCTTTATGTATGATGTATCTGCAAATTTCATCATACACATGCATAATTTGTGTCTGCACTTCACAACTTATAAATGGATGAAACCATTAATCTTCAGTGTACTCAAATTCTCAGTCTACCAACAAATATATCACACACATAAGCACTGAGTTAGCAGGGGATATTTTACCTGATACTTTTTTAGGGAGGGGAGGGGTTATAGCAGAGCAAAATATATCTTACAATATATATGCATTTAGTATGCTAATGCTGTATCCCCACCATATATCTTACAATATATGCATTTAGTATGCTAATGCTGTATCCTCGCCATCCCAACATCTTCCATGAATAGGTGTAATCACGTACATAGCAGAAATACAGCATTAGCATACTAAATACATATATTGTAAGATATATTTTGGCCCTCTGCCATGTATGTGATTACACCTATTCATGGAAGATGGTGGGGATACAGCATTAGCATACTAAATACATATATTGTAAGATATATTTTGGTCTGCTATGTATGTGATTACACCTATTCATGGAAGATGGTGGGGATACAGCATTAGCATACTAAATACATATATTGTAAGATATATTTTGGTCTGCTATGTATGTGATTACACCTATTCATGGAAGATGGTGGGGATACAGCATTAGCATACTAAATACAT